TGCCACCATGATGATCCCTGTAAGTCTCCAAGTTATAACACGTTATGCCGAAAATATACGTATTTGACATGATTGTCATTAGGCCAATATAAAAAATATTGTAAATCAAATTACCCCTCATAAGTTTGCTTTGGTATTATTATTATTTTGATATTTGAAACTTTGATTAATTAATTAAATATAACGTAAATCAACCTAAACTTGCAATTTTAGCATTGTTCGTTTTCTTTATAATTTAAAAAACGTTAGATTTAAACGTTCAAACTTATACAAATAATAGTTTCAATACTTAAAATACAGTGGCAAATGTGTGATGCAAACATTTACTATGTCGACATTTAAAACGGATATCATTCAAAAAGAAAAGAAAACGAGTGTACTGGAATAACTGACTATCTTTTTTAATAGTTGAAGTTAACACTATAGTAAGGCAGCTAGTAGCATGCTATTTATTGAATATATAAGCATATCGTTGTTTAAGCTGACATGATATCTCAGGTACTGTTGATCTTTTCGAGTATATTTCTTAAAACAGGCCTCATAATGAGTATTTCTTTCGGATCACACATACTTAAGATTATAATAAGCAATAAGATAGCGGTCTTCATTTGTATTTATGCTTAACCTATGTTTTTCGCATTAAATTATCGTTCCTTGATATCGATAGGTATCTGCTGCAAAAACAGACTTATAGCATATCTGTAAATTTTAAGATAAAGTTCACTACTGGTATGAACATTATGTGTTCTTGTTATAGATATGAAATTACTTAGCTGAATGATTCAATTATTATATGTTTTTGTTGCATAAAAAAGTTTTCTCGCCCGAAGATCGAAACAGTGATCCTTATAAATCATGTGCTCACATTGTCGAGCTAAGCGAGAGAGCATTCCGTAATGATATAGGTTATTTTTCATGTTACAATAAAGCTTCCAGAAATACTACACATCAGTAATCCATAGAATTATCTAAAGTTAAAAATATTTGGCAAAGTCTACTGACATATTTCATCACTTGATTTAGGATGTTTTGTATTATATAAACTTTCTTATTGGAATTCCGTACGTGCTTAATGTAGTCTTCATCAATTAGTTCCTCACTAGTAAACAGCGTCTCTAATGTTGAAATTATTTCAATCTTCTCACCAAAACAGCAGGCCAATTACGGTTACTCGTACGTTACCTTACACCATTGAGTTTATAGCATTAATCAAAATAAAATATGTTCATGAAATTGCAAAGAGGATTATTTGAAGTTATACAATTCATAGACAAAAATGTGATTTAGCGCTGTGAAGTAAAAAAAAAACTACATTTTTTACAAAATATTTAGAAACTGTTAACTATAAATTTTAATTTACACCCAATATATTAAAAGTCTGTTAATACAATTATAAAAGGACTATAGATAACAGCCCTTCACAGGTGACGTCACTGACATGTACACTGAATCGAAATTAAAAATTTACACAAAACAAAACAAATGCAAAACAAAACAAAACGACCAAGGCTGGTGCGTTTATTCGTGAAAGTATAAATAAGTCATATTTTATCCACAAATTTCATATGACGTCTATATATAACGTCTTTAAAAATATGATTATCCCAACATTCATTTTAGCCTAGAATAGTTAAAGCAGGGCAAATTCTGGAAGAAATAGTGCCACAATTACCTGTTTGTAACGTGAATACCTATGTTAAATAATTATCAGATCTTTTGTATTAAACTTGTTATGCTAGTCACTTGTTTGTGATGAAAAATATTGAGTATTCACATTAAGTTATCATAAAATTGTGAATTGTATGCTGAACTTCAAATGTGTATTTAACATTCCGTTTTGGCAGCTGTTGTACTTTGGTTATTCTACAATTATCAATATTGCCACGCAATGTTTACTTTTTTGTTTTATGTTATTGTAATTATGAAAACTACATACTTTTCTTATCTAAAGCGTTTGTAGTAGACATACGACGTTATGTTTCCCCACCTCTTTTAAATATTATTTTATTGTAAATACAAGCTTATCAGCGTACAAACTGACCATGTGTCTAAGATAAAGGTTCATTTAAAGTTGTAATAGATATTTATCTGTAATGTTTTAATGGGTAAACAGTGAGTGTTTTGATTGATTGAAATGTACTTTGTAACAAACAAAAAATATAGAAAACCATCTGCCGTACTTAACCTAGTTTAAATATTTTGCTACATTCTTCAAAGTCAGTTTTCAGGTTGTTCATTAACTCGAACAATGATAATGTGTTTTATTATCTGAAACGTACAAACATTACTGATTTTTTAAAACGTACGTTAAACTTAAATATATATTTTGTATTTTCTTCATTGTTTTCGAAAATATGTTTATATTCTGTAATTGTTTAATAATATTAGGTAAATGAAAATATTGCTCAAATTCCAATCTGCCTCTTTAAAATACAGTGACAGGTTAAAATGAAAATAACTTTATAGTGAACACAATTCTAAAACCAGTCAATTTTGAAATATAATTTAAAATACAAAACAAATGTACTGGCAAGGAAATTGTTTTCAATTTGGTATGAAACTACTTAGAACAGTAGTGGAAGATAAGGGGAATCCCTGAATTGTGACATATGATCGACTTGAGGGAATACAATTTCTGACTTTCTTTTTGTCTATTTTATTATTTCCTTAAAGCGCTTGCATGTCATAGTAAAAGGCTTGTTAGGGGTAAAGGATCAAAATGACTGATGTGAATACTATTTTTTTTTTCTCTCCTGCCAATCGTTTGCAGCGTGCCTTCGGCCGAATCTAAATTAAAATGCAGTTTTTGCAATTTACAAAATCGTCTGGTTGCAGCATTTAACCCAAAGTGTACAGTTAAATGATTAATTTGTAAGTCAAAATATCTGTAACTTTATTACGTTATCATCATAAAAACGTGTATTCTTATAATTTGTACTAATTACTAATGAATATGAATCCCTATGAACGGAGCGACAATGTAATTATATTGTCGGGGTTTTAAATCTAAATCAACTTATATTGAAGCTCTCCGACACCCCAAAGCAAAATCATTCCATCGAATTATCTTTCAAATATCTGACATTGATTTGATACATTCTTCATCGCTTGCTTAGGGATTTAATATTGTGTACAACTTCTTATTGAAATTTCGTTCATAAAAATACATATCTCCGTCAATAAAATCTGCACGAGTAAAAAAAGATTTTATTTTCAACTTTATAATTTGAATATTCTTCTCGACTCATGTATTAATTACAAAAGTTTTATTTATTCACATTTATTTACAAAGTAAGCTTTGAGTTTATGAGTTTTATCTTACTGATCAAAATGAATGGTTTCAGTCATAGAAGATACGAATGTTGTTAGGCTATATCAACAATCCTGATAATCTTTTGTACATCTGCTTCCATAAACAAGAAGTTGAAAAAAAATCGTTCTGATATTATATACAATAAGCCACATGTTAAAATTTAAAGCATATGATGTCCTGCTAACATTACTACTTGATGCACTGTTGTGCAACGTGCAGTTTGTCTTAATAACATGTTTTCAGAATAATAAAGCTTTTTATGTTCAACATTTAGATTGAATATGGTCATCTGACACGAATTTTACACTATATAATGTGAAAAATTACATAGTAAGCATAATGTAAACGTGAATGCCATACAGGTATGATTAGATTTTCTGATTTTGTTATGATCGACATGTTTATAATTGGACATGTTACGTAATTATATAAAATAGGCATCCGTCTTTCACGCCTTTACTAATGTGAGTAAATATAAAACTGACACATTGCGTCGTGAAAATACATATGCACATTTAAACTATATTTATCTGTATATATGATACTGTCTCTAAATAACTTCCAAAAGATATTTTTATTACTTTCAACAATCATTAAAAATCATTCAATAAAAGTTTATGCGGGTCAACAATCAGAAGAAAAAATGCCACGGTTATCTTATTTTCGATGGAAATACCTTTGTACTATGGAGGAATATTAACGCCAAAATTACATCTTGCTTTCTTACGTTACATCCTGCTTTCTAACTTGTACATCTTGCATTCTGACTTGTACATCTTGCATTCTGACTTGTACATCTTGCATTCTGACTTTTACATGTTGCATTCTGACTTTTACATGTTGCTTTCTTACATGCACATTATGCTTTCTGCTGTGTGCGACTTGCTTAATTTTATGATGATGTCGTTATTTAACGATCACCTATTATTCATTTGTTGATCTGGTATATTAATTCAATAACTTAACCTGCAACTGTTTGTGTTTGGGTCTATTTACTCAGCTTGAATGACGAATGTCATAAGGTAGAATGCGCATAGCCGAAAGCCGAATGCAGCAAGCATAATACAACGCGACATCTGGTGTAATAATATGTGACACCCAAATTATGCTAACAGGTGGCGCTACAGTTATATTCTCGGTAAAGTCCGTATTGCGGTTCGGATTCAGTTTACCAAGTTACGTCCCTTTGTTGTAAAATTTCCATTTGCACTCATGGAGGAAATAAGGTAAACATATATACAAAACGATTTAACCAATTTTTATATTTATTACTGAAACTCTGTAGGTCAAATTATATTTCCAGCTGACAATGACAAGTTGCACATTTCCAAATCAATGGTTTTAGAATTTTTTTACGCTTTATAAGTTTTATCTGGCTTTGAAAAACTCGTTCTAATAAAAAACTTGTTAATTTTTTGTGTGAAGACATCTTTGTAATGAGATCATCTACAGCACATCATAATTCATATTTTACAAGAGCACCGCGATTCAACCATTGAGAGAGTTTGTTATTTCCAATTTCTTTTAGCAACTTTGGAGAGGCTTTTTATGGTGTAAAAAATGAAACAAAAAGAGGTGAATTAAAATGATGACTTCATCAAGTATTCAAAACTGGAATGAAATAATAATTATGTTCTAGATTAACCAGTGATAAACAATTGGCATTGTATTTTTTATTTTTTGGCTCCCTAATTCACTTGCCCATGGACAAGTGCCATGGGAAAAACTACTTGTCTGTAGGCAAAAAGTCCCGAGTCGGACATAGGAATTCCGCACCCCTGTCAGGTTTTAAAGTATTTTTTATATAGGGCATAATCTAGATTTAATGCCAGTTTACCTGTTTTCCTGTTTACAGTATGGTTATAGTTTTTCACAATAAATCATTTTGATCTTAATTAGGTTGACTTTAGTCAGTGAACAGAATTTGATTCTGATTTTGCTTTTGTTAGAAAAGTGCTGTACGGCTAGCCTGTACAGTGTCCTAGTAAGTATGCTAGCAGTATGGGCCCGTTCACCAAATGGAATACAGGTAAAGGTTCCCCAAAATTACATCAGGGTCAGCTCGGCCTAAAACTTTCTTGGCACCCAAGGTACATGTATCTCGGCCCTATACCTTCTCAGCATGGGTCAACTCGAAACACTTCTTATTTTGGTAATAGTTTTCATCACAGAATTATTATCACAGAATCATGACTATGAGTGGATGTTGATTTTTGTGCTGTGATTATAATTAAGTTATGATAGTAAACCCATTGACACAATCTACATAATTGTATGCATCTATTTTCGAAGTACTAAAGAATGATCAACTCTTGTAAATATTTTTGTGAGGCTTCTTTTTTCCTTTTTTTCCTGGACTTTCTTAATTGTCAAATTCTTAATATAATGTACATAAAAATATAACCTATGTTGAAAAAATGTTCTGAGTTGGTATAGGGTCGAGTTGATAAAGTACTTGAACTGTCAGACACAGCTCTTACATTACATTGTATCATGTTATTACCTTAGCTTTTAATATTTGCCTTTTCCTTATTTAAAATCACATGTTTATATTTATATTGTTAATAAAATACATTACCATTTAGCTTAGTCTTCATAATGATCCATTTTGTATTATTTAGAATGACAGAAATTACTGAACTGATGCGAGAGGCTCTTTTTAATATCGCAAATGATTTGGAAGGCCATCGCACAGCTAACTGTAAGGAACAGTTAGAAAACATTGTCCACATACTCCTTGATGAGATGTCACAGATTTCAACAGTACATGAAAATGTAGTTGATTTGATAAATGCAGCTATCAGGCTTTTAGAAGATGATGAAGACAGGGAGACAAGAACTGCTTTTAAGCCAAATCTGTGTTATACAAACAATAAAGGGTGGCCATCATACCAAATAGCTGAAGAAACATTGAAGTATTATGTAGAAAATGACTTTTCAGTAAATGACATATCCTCTATATTAAATGTTAGTTCTAGAACTATAGCAAGGAGATTGCAATATTACAGTCTATCTATTAGAAACTCATATTCTAACATAGATGATAATGAACTTGATGAACTTGTTGCAAGTAAAGTGCAAGAATTTCCAAATTCTGGATATAGAACTATTTATGGACACTTGAAATCTGTTGACGTGAGAATTCAAATATCAAGAGTTAGGGAGGCTATAAAAAGAGTTGATCCATGTGCTGTTGCTGTTCGGAGACTTTTTATGCAGCATTACAGAATTAAAAGACGGCGATACAATGTTGAGGCTCCTATGGCACTTTGGCATGTAGACACAAACCACAAGCTGATAAGGTAAGCATACTTCTTAATTTAAATTTTGTAGAGATGCAATTTCTCTAGCACTGTAAGCAAAAAAATCTATTTTATGATTTAAATGCAAAGTTTATACTTGTGTTTCATGCACATGTAGGTCACTGCAATTATACTACAATCATTAGGGACAATTAAGTTTATGTACAATTTGTTAAAGGGACTCCACCGAGGTTTAAAAGCCTAATAAAGTAACATTTGAATTTCTTACATAATTGAGCTGGGGCACTTTAAACAGAATATATATGCAAAGATAGTTGCACAAAGATTAGTGGTCTAAACCTCCATCAAATGGTACATTTATCTGGATTTTTTTTCAGTCCCATCATGTCAAAAAAACCTCAGTGGAGTCCCTTTAAAATAAACTGATTTATCAAATTCTATAGATTTGCATTTTGATCTTTGGCTTTTACCTTAATTAACATTAGAATATAATTTCCTTAATTATAAACTTTCACTAGAGGTGTCTTAATTATGATGCCTGCATATCAAACAAACCCCACTTTAAGTGTTAAGGTCATTAACTTCAAACCACTTGCCCCTCACTGCTGTGGGTTCGAGTCCCGACAGGGACTTTGTATTCTTTCATGTGAGGAAGCTATCCAGCTAGCTTATGGAACGTCGATGGTTCTACTCAGGTACCCTTTCGTGCCTGTAATAATGCACTGAAGGGCACCTGAGGTCTTCCTCCACCAGTAAAGCCAAAATTAATGACCTATAAGTGTGTCAGTGTGAAGTAAAACCCAACCAAACAAACTTAACAAATGCTTTTATTCCATGTTTTCACAAGACATTGTCACTGATTGTAGCTGGATTTTTTTTCATTTTCCTTTGTACATTTATTAATATCTTTATATATAGATGGAGATTTGTGATACATGCAGGTATTGATGGCTACTCGCGCCTACCAACCTACACAGTTATTGCTCCAGACAATACTTCTGAGACTGCTTTAAATGCTTTCAAAAGTGGTGTAATAGAGTATGGGGTTCCACACAGAGTTAGAACTGATAAAGGAAAGGAAAATATTGGAATAGCTGAATTCATGTTACAACATTGGGGTATAGATAGCAAAAGTCATATTACTGGTCGTAGTGTTCATAATCAAAGGTAACTAGAAGACACCAAGTGGCAAAATATTAAAAAAATTTGGACACTTTTTATCCAAACTGAAAGAAAATACAGTTCTGAAAACGTATTTTCATGAGAGACATAGATAACATGTCTATGTCTTTTGTTTCATTATGTAAATTTTGTTCATTAAACCGTAAATTTATGAAACCTTGACCTGCAAGATACAGATCTGAATCTTCCTCATTAATTACTCTGCATTTATATGGTGACAGTTGTGCAATATAACTTTATGTAATGGATATAATATATAAGTGCATGGTTAATCATCTTAACTTTTAATTTTATCAAGTATGACCACATGTAATGCTTCATAAATTCAATTTACAAACACAACTCACTATAATTGATTTGTTGTCATCATACATGTATTTCAATATGATTGAGATTATAAGATATGAAATAATCATAATGAAAAAAATATGATAAATACAGTATAAAAGCTTATACATATCTAACATACATTAAACAAAAAATGGAAGTGCTGAATTACTGTAATTAATATTCATCAATTGTTTGTTTTAGAATTGAACGCTTTTGGAGGGAAGTCTGGCAAGGTTGTACAGGCACGTTTCATCAACTTTTTTCTATGATGGAAGAATCTGGTATGATGAATGCAGACAGTGAGCTTGATCTCATAGCATTACATTCTGTATTCTTGGAAAGAATACAGCAATCTTTGAATAGGTTTCGTTTAGCCGTATCAAGAAGGCCATTAAGGACTGAAGGCAACAAGTCTCCATTACAGTTATGGATATTAGGTCAAGGTCTGCCAGTACTAAATTTATCAGCTGATGTAAGTGATTTGATTTATTAATGCTTTTGTTTGCAAATACAATGTTATAATAAATAAGATTCCAGTAACAAATATCAGTTTAATGTATGTCCTGTTTCTCACAGCGCATGCTTTCAAGTTATATTATAAAGGAATATTAATTACTTTTGTACCAGTAATTATCTTTTTCCTTCAGCAAGTAATTTCAAGTCCTTTACATTTAATTTTGGAGATTACTGAGGAGGGCGAATAACATTTTTTTTGGCCAAATCATTACAAACAAGCAATCCAAATTTTTAAGCCTTTAGACATCAATTTTGGAAGCATGTTAATTGGATAGAATCTTATAGAAATGTCATGTTATTTATTTACATTTTTAAATAAAATTGATAATAAAGAAACTGTTCTGTATTTCAATAAGATACAAGTTTGTTCTTTTATAAAATATAAGTTTTTGATTTGGTATAGTGTTAAAATCTCTCTAGTTATGAAGTATATGTAAAAAAAACTGTTGGATATTTGAATTCCTATTACAGTATAAAATATTTATAACATTTGTTTATTTTATTTTTAATTGTTGATTAGTGTTAATCTTAATGAGTTTCTGTTTCAGGAATTATCTGTTTATGGAATAGATTTTGATGGACCAATACACACAAGCCAAGGAGAAATTGTTGTTCCTTCCTTGTACAATGTCCCAGATCACATACAAGATGGAATGAATGAAATAAAAAGCAGAACCTCCCAAATTGATGAAATATTTGAAACAGACACTTACTTAGCATTAAAGGAATACTTGCATTCTCAGCTAAACTTATTTTAAAATTGACCTCCTTTTTATATTAAGAACCTGTGTGCATGTGTTTGACCATTGAATCCTTAACAAAATGTTGAACTATGGTGAGAGTCTCCAAAATTTTATAGGTATTTCTGCTGTATTTTAAGTCTGTTTTATTATGCTTACCAAAGATGAAGCATATAGTCGCCGCTTCAATGGTCAGTTTGTCAGTTTTATGTCCACACTATTTTTGAGCAACCATTGGTTAGGATTAAAAAACTTAAATGTTAATCTTTATTATCAAGATGTGCATATTGTCTGCATGGCAATCATTCAGTTATGGCCGCTTTTTAATATAAGGTCAAATACTTTTTGAGTTACGTGTGACACAAGTTGAAAATTGCAAATTTTTACTAAGTCATGGGCAATCACTCTAAAAATACTGAATAAATCCACTCGAAAATACCCAGGTGCACAACTGCACATGCTGATCAACATTCCTGTTAAGTTTCATGACTCTAGGTCAAATACTTTGAGTTATGTGCGACACAAAAGAGAACGGACAGTCACGGGTAAATCTAAATCCCCCCTTCCCCAGTGGGGGCACAATCAAAGCATTTCTACATATCTGTTCATAGTGCTTTGTAAAATGAATGTCTGGTTTGTTACAAATAAATTACCAACAAATACCTGTATCTAAATTTTTGTTTTCAATTTTAAAGTTCATACATGCACAAACTTGCAGTTAAACACTAAAGAGCAGTATCTTTTATTTGCCAAAACAGAAGATGATTCAGATTATATTCAATATTCATATGTAAAACTCTTATGAGAAATGACCATATAGCAAAATGTATGTACATGTATACAGATTTTATAAAACATTTTTCAAATGAGGCTCTATACACTTAGATATATTGAAAAGAGAAAAATAAACTAAGAAGCAAAAGACAACTTTTTATTTGACAACAAATTTTATAACAAATGTAATTTTAAATATCTTGCTACCTGATATTCTTCAGCAAAATTGTCAATAACTCGGGGGAACATAATTCATCTCCAATCAACTGTACAAATCACTTTCAAATTGATAAATTTACTAGTATAATTATTTGATATAATACAACAACCAATCAATGAAGCATTTTATAAAGCTTACAGTTAGTTCAGTAAGAAACTGTTACCCTCTACTGATGCATGATCAGTGCAAGTTTGCATTACATGATATTGAAATAACATCACAAGTGATTGGATACAAAACTGTTGACACATGCTTCCACACTTCAGAACAAGATGGAATCACAAAACTCAGGAATCACAAAACTCACCATGACCACAGTGACCTAAAATAAGACTCCCTCCTGTCCCCTTTTTGTCTGGCAAACAATTATAAATTTTTATGTTCTTTGAAAAACATAACAAAATAAATTTTGTTGATAATTAATTTAGAAAAATTTTTAATCCCATACCTAGTTTCGAAGTTTACTCGAAAAGGGAGTGACAGAAGGGCAGACAGACATGCAAAGGTACAAAGTGGCGACTATATGTTGCCCTCCTTTAAAAACATAATGATGGGGACTGTTGTGTTTTTACACAAATCATTTGTTGTAATCTAAGGAACATTTTTACAAAATCTGTTCAAATCTAACCATCTTTGGCAAAATGACATAGTATGGTAAAAACATGACTAGCAAATGAACTAAAGATCTCTTTACTTTGGTCATACAACATTACTCAATTCCAAAACCAACAGCATCAACAATAACGCTCAAAAAATGCTTTTCAAAAGTCTCATACTCCTGAATACGAGCAGTCTGTGAGAACATAATTGAAGGTGCACATGTGTTGACAGTTGTTAAATTATTTGATGTGTGGCTAAATTCAACCAATCCACATTCTATATTTCGTGGAAGTGTTTCACATCCTACGAGAGCCTGAAGAACATGTCCAGTGTTAATCACCACCTGTGTCTCAACTCCATTATAAATATCAATCCATGGTGTGGACATTGTTCCGCCTGAAAAACGAAACAGAATAATAATTTCTACCTGAATGGAGTATATTACCCATATTGTTAAAAAAAAGATGGAAGGTTAGGTTAGATAATCATATCCTTATTATTTTCCCAACATACATACAATGACCAGTTCACAAGTAATAAATAGGCTTTATCAAGAAAAAAGTAACAATGACAGTCTATAATGCTAGTTCAAAGATTGGCTTGTCCTATTGTTGTCTGATATGACGTCATTTGATTGAAATTTTGCGCTGTTTCCCTATTAAATACTAATTAAATGTTGTTTTTGTTAAATTATTAGCATGAAATAGTAAAGCTTGGGAAATATTACTTTTGGTGCTCACTTGAACATCTTTAACTGACACAAACAAATTTTCTCTATTTAATGCAATTGATGTAAATTAAATTCATGAATCCAAAAACATTACACAACGAAGTGTCAATAATCAATGATTTTTTTTGTCATTTGACTTGTAATCATTTTTTCAAAGGTTAAACATTTTGGGGTAATGAAGGGGAATTTTGACCAAATTTGGGGAAATAGATACATTCCTTGGCTAGATGAATGGGACATTATACTGGCCCTAAAATTAGGGACAGCCCTGGAGTTCTGTTAAATTTGAAGTGCATATAAAGATGCTCGCATGGTGACATGAATAACATTAAATTTTAAGTACATACGTTCCACTTTCTTTAAGAATTTCCCAAAGTTATACATGATCATTTCTTCCCTCGGCTTGAATTCGCTATCTGGTGTGTAAGTCGGTTTGAAGAAACTTTGTACATCCGACGCACTAACTGGAGATGTGGTAAAAAACTTTATACTCTCCTCAGCATGTCCCTGGATGGCAGTTTGAACACCAAGAAGTTTCAAACCTGCAAAGAATGATTTAGGAACATATATACTTTTCAATGTCTTTAGACGTTGCCTGAAATTAAAATGTATACCAATTTGCTTCCATCTGCTTGATTTGAAGTAAAAGAGAAAAAAAATCACATTCGGTTATGTTGAATGCATATCAACATCCAGTGAAATGTATGTTTTAGAAGTTTTAAAAAAGGTTTAATTTAGACAAATTTTATTTCATATTAACCTTTAAATAAAACAGGTGCACATCTCAATAATGTTTTATATAAGAGTGATGTTCCTTGCTATATATGTGCAAAATGACACTGGCAATGTGTGCAATTACTATGTGTCTCGCTATATACTTGACCTGCATGTTTGAAACTTTAAAAATACAAATAACAAATTGCTTCCTAACTGAAATCATTTGAAATAATATTCCTGTATTTACATCACAATGCATAGTTTTTCTCTCTCCAAAATTACTCTGTATCAATACTGAATACTATCATCCATACCACTAAGTCTTGTGACACATATACCTTAGTCCATTCAAATATTGGATGTTCTTTAGTTATGTTCAACCTTTTGCATGACATAGACAAGAAATGATCACAATGGCTTGATTCTTTTATTACTCCCCCCCCCCCAACAAAAAAAAACCCATTGATATTCAAAGCCACTGTATACATTAAAACAAGAATATAGGAAACTGTAACAATCTGTTACACTTTTCAATTAGAATATAATTACTAAATGCAAATACAAAATACATCTTCACATTCTTGCCAGTTAAATTCCCTATATGAAGTTTTCATAGTATCAAATTTCTGAGACTAGGCTCCTAACTCATTTCAAACAAAACCAGCTTCCCAGTACTAAAATCATGTTTAACTTTTCTTTAAAATATACTTAAATTCTTAAATAAATCGCTTCAGGACTTTAATAGTACCTTTAATTGTCACAGCGTTTTATTTTCTAATACATCGTAAATGATCCCTTAAACTTTGCAGACATACATGTAACTAGTACCGAAGTATTTCAAACTGCTTACAACCTATCTTTTTCAAATTAAACATTTATAGTGTCCGATCCTTTAAAACATATATGCAATCAAGATAGAGAAATGCATTGACTCAAAATATTGATTTCAAACAAGTATTTTCAAACATTAAGTAAACCCATGCCTTGTCTAAATTGAAGAAGTGGTCCAATCACATGATAAAAGGTGAAGTGCCGTTTCAGAGCATGTACAGCTTCACTGGTAGTTGATGATGACAAAACTTTTCTAAAGCCCGCCTGCTCCAGCAGATCACCATGTCTTTGAACAAGGTCTCCAGATCCTGTACTGTCTGTTGAGATCTGCAAAATGATTACCGATCATAAATGGGGATTATACCCTTTTGAGAGAGGGAGTCATATTTTAATTTGTTTTAGACTATATACAAAGTTGTTAAATACACTAACCAAACAGTGTATGAAGATTGAGCAAAGGGAGATGATCAACATACATATATATGTTTGATTCAAATATATAATAAAGTTTCTTACAATTTGTACATGTTTACACTGGAGACTAATTGATAGCACTGGTCACAGTGTTATGGTTTTGATATAATTCCACTGTCATCATCATAATGATGAATGAAACTTCATCCAAAACATTTTATCCAGTATAACATGCTTTAGCATTTTCTTTCAAATCAAGGGAGGCTATTTTGTGACAACAGGTAATAGAGTTGTGGTTCTTGTACATTAATTAGGCCATATTGCCATTACGAAATTATTAATTTACCGTAAGTTTCATTCAATTCCTTTTAAGTCTTTCCAAGTTCAGATAGGTTACAAAGGACTATAAATCATACAATATGTATGAAGTTTGAAGTTTGTATCTGAAATGGTTTTTAAAGTTGTAAGGAATACTTTAAAAAATGCATATATTTTTTCAAATTTAACAATGGGCAGTGTCTATGTTGTATTTATAGAGAAAAATTACTTTGAAAGGAGGTAAAGTAAACTTCAATTCTTTAACAAAAGTCTAAACATACATCTTGTATGGCTGCTAACACATCAGGCCTTCCAACATATTCATCTGGTATATCTGCTAGATCTGGTTCTTCACCAGTACAAATGAACCTGGCCAGCAATGGATTAAAACATTTTGGGCCTGGGTGTCCTGCGAGGATGGCACGCGCAGTAGCTCTTCCCATTGTTTCATCTGTCTTCTTTTTAAGCAGACCTGAATCTAATCTGAATGATCCATTTTCAAAAAGGTCATTGTTCTTAAACAACAAGCTGAAAAACTCCCTGCTTAAGCCACCTGCATCTAAGCCCTCTTCTCCTATGAAGTGAATTTTCATAGGCTTTTCCCAGTCAATTGTCAAAGCATCCGATAGTTCTTCAAAAGCTGTTTTAAAGAAATTTCTCCTCACAACATTGATTAGCCAGTTTTCATTACTGTCTCCAACCTTTGCTGCTATGGCATCTAAATCTGCATCAAGAGTCCTATAAAACAAATATTTCTTATAAAAACTCAAGACAGGGAACACTTTGTATATGTGAAACAAAGCTATACAAGGTCCTAAACTGGATGACAGCATTTTTGGTAGTATAAAGTAAACTCCTAAAATAATAACTCCGGTTATAATAAAACTTTGGATTCAACAAACAAACAATTTTGGCCTGATTTTCACTTCCTTATTCCATGTAATAATATATAGATATAACATACTTTGGATATGTTAAACAATTTTGTAATGCATGGTCAAGATACACCCCAGTTTAGACAGAAGCACACATGAACACATGTAACGTTATGCTTATGGACTTGTCTACAGCTTTTTACATGTATCCTGCATTTTATCAATGTATTATATTATGCTGACTGTATATAATTTGTCATATGTTTAATTATGTCTTTTGAATAAATTTTTACAATTTCATTGTAACAAACAACCATGAATACAAAATTATTCAGCCAATGAACTAAAATTGAGTGATAACATTATTTGGGCAACCAAAAACACTTACCTAGCAACGGTGGGATTAGACAGCTGGTCCTCACAACAACTTGCAGCATGCTCTTCTATGGTGCTGACAGGGAACTCATCATGGCATATAGGACACAGCTTTGTACTGCTACATATAAAGAATATTAGTGAATTGTCATTCAATACTGTAATCATTTAACCTAGGTATGTTGTATTTTTGGTTTAGTGGATTTTAATGATTTCATATTACATTACAATAAATTTAATGGTATATACATGTAGCAAAGTTTTTTTAAAATGAAAACTTTGTCAGTAATTATTCATTTTGATATATTGAATGAAGAAAAACATCATAAGCTGCTGACCTATTAAGTAGTTATTGTATGGAAATTCCACAGAACAAGTAGACTGACCAAACCACAAACTTATTGCTGTACACCAATATACCGCTTTATGTCACAAACTGTTTTATGGGTGTATAAAAATGACATTGTGCAGATAATAACCAGAACTTGATTTTAAGTAGAAATGACATCCACATGAAAAACTTGAAAAAAAACTGCAAAACATTTATGTTTGGAAATGTTCTTCATTACTTTACACTGGTACTATTTGGTGCAACAGAAAATCATGCAACAGCTGAATGAACAGGAAATCTGGGGGAAGAGGGTGCAAGATATGTAGACAATATATTCTTCAATATATTCTTAAAAAGCCACAAACAGTAACTGATAAACTGTGTGTTCTGCCAACATTTCAAGGCACTGAAATAATTTTTCAAAGACTCAAACATGATATTATTCAGATTCATTAATAAAATGAAACGTGTGACAGGCACAGATGCCCTTTCTATGTGATGTTCAAGATGTTTGACAAAAAAAAGTAAACTTTAATATTTTTCAGTATCACTGTAAATAAACGTAGATCAATGAAGCTTTTTGACCTTTAACCTGGCAACAAGGTTGATTACCTCTTTATCTTGTACAATCCCTTTTGAATGTTTGTTATTTTGATATGTTCTGGGAGTGCAACAAAGGTCCTTTTCTTGTGTACATGATGAGACAAATTTGAATTACATACTATAATGAATTATTCCATTATTATATTTTTAATCTTGGCAGAACACTTATAAAACTTGTAACTCATGAACTTAAAAAAGAAAATTACTGTTCTGGTGGTTTGCATGTATCCACTGCCTTTAAATAACACAACTGTAATTTTAGCTAAACTAGGTCTATCACAAAATGTGAAAAAACAACTGAATAATAGCACATTTGTATGAGAAGTAGTTTGAGGTATTGATAAAGTGAAAGTGTGGTAACAATTGAAAAATTTATTAGCCTTTCAATAAAAAACTCTCCTATCAGATATAAATAATAAAGAAATCAATTCATATTGGACTATAATACAAAGTTGTATATTACTTAAAAACCAAGCCATATAATAAGATAGATTTGCTGATCAATCTATAAATTGAATATCCTTCAAAATTAATTTGGCTTTAAAATATTTCAACTATTTTATAAAATTTGTTTTCTGATTCATAACAAAAATTACTGATTTTTTTTTAGATCTTAAGAATTTCTTTCCTACTGCTGAGAATTGAGGAGTTTTCAAACTTTAATAATTATTGGCAATGTGTAACTTGTAAATAAACAAACAAAATAATTACACATGCAAATTTGCAGACTGGAATCTGTCCCTGGCTCATCTATGCACTGGCTGCATCTACCTGAAGTTTACAGTTTGCATACATTTAAATGATAACAAAATATTATGGTAATTAATCTCACTTGCTAGAATTAAATTTTGTCTTTTTTAAATATACAGCAGAAACATATGCAAACTCTGGCTCAGTTTCCTTTATGCAAACATGATGTCATATCCACATACAAAATACACAAACCTTTGCTATTTCATATTTAATTTTGTAAATTGAATGGTCAATAATTGCTTTTACCAATGGTAAGAGTTAAGCATAAAGTAAGTTTTCCCCCTTAAAATAAAGATTGAAGCATACTCCAACTAGTTCTCTACCTACACATGTACCACCCAATAAAATCTTAAAGATTCCTTGTTATCAACAAATGCCTACATGTAGACCTTAAGTTTATATGAAATATGAAGAGTGCATTAAAAAGGATGGAATGATATGAATTCTGTATCATGGAATGGGTTGGTCTTTAATCAAAATCTAACTTTTGATAGATACAAGTAATTACTAGTGAGGTACCTCATCAGTCCCACAAGCATCAATATGGAGACGAAGACGTTGAAGAGGAATACTTTTGCCACACCTCAAACACATCTCTGTTGTTTGATCATCAGTATCAACCTGTTTCAAAATTCTTAATACATTTATACATGCATACACTTACTATGCAACTTCGATAATTATTCTTTCCTAAATAGTGCTAATAAATTTATGCAGATTTCAAAAATTACACACATGTCACTTAGACGCTCTGCTTTAAAAGATGATAATAATTTCCATATAGGATGCTAAGTAAAAACAAAGAATATCGTGTTTATAAAAATGCAATGCTACTACCAAAAATAGTGATATAATAAACATTTGTAAAGTTCGGAGCTTTGAGCACATGAGTATTATCTTACTGTGATACAGTATCTAGAATTAGTGCTCGCCAATTTTTTTAAGCCAATCACTGACGAGGATTTTTCAAATTTTCAGGTTACAAATCTTAATAGAACAGATTTTATATAAACTGGACGTTTTATATTATAAAACGCAAGTGGGCGGAGCACTAAGCCGGTTAGAGTGCATATTGGATGTTCTTCGTAAATAAGAAAGCTACAGTCGCTCCGCAAGTTCCGCTCCTTTTTAGCTTTCTTATTTACGAAGAACACCCAATATGCACTCTAACCTATACTTAACTCAAATAAAACAAAAGCTAAACCTTGTAAGAGGCAATCAAAGAAATTAATATCCTTATTTCAATTATACCTGTGAGGAGCATAGATTCATATCAAGGTCTTTCTGTATTGGCCTGATGTAGCAAACTGCCTGTCCTAGAGAACTTTCATCACAAAGATATTTTGTGGTATACCCTCCTGGGGGAATTGGCAATGGCTGCAATGTGTATTTGGAGTTCCCACAAGTTCTAAGTAATTCAAATCCACCACAATTGATAATGGGTGGAAATGCCTCCTCTAGGTTTTGTTTAAACAAATCTCCATCGTAGTTTCAACTTTTCGGCATTTTCTAGTTGGGTGGTTCCAATATTCCTACTTGAATAATGTTGAATCACCCTTAGGATATGTTGCCTGCTTTTTAAATTTGTCTTTTGACGTCTTATCTGTGATACGCAGGCTTCATAGCCTCTGATCCCCTTTCAGAATTCCATTTTATTTAGTTCCGCCCATTGTTTTCTCGTTTAGGGCACACGCTTTTTATTACTTGGGGACCATACGCCGCTTTTCATGGAATGGCACGGAAGTGTCACATTGAAGGTTCCATGATAACCGCCGTATGAACACATCTGCGGATGTTTCTAAATTCAAAATTTTACTATTTCATGTTAAAATGTTGAATTCTGCTTAAGCCGGTGCTAGGGGGCGTGGACGGTAACTTCCACTTTCCAGTACCGTCCATGAACAGGCTCAATCAAACCGAGCCTGCAACATTTTCAATTTTGCCGTGTTGGGCTTTCTTTAGGGATTCTGTATTTATCTATTTTATGATCACATCCGTGTTATTTGTGCCGTGTGGCGGCTGTAAAAAGTCTCCCCGTACATTTAATCAATGATGTTATATTTTCGATCCTTGAAGATCTTTCAGCACGACATTATTGTTGTGCTTGTGGTATTTTAGTTTCAACTTTTTGGCATTTTCTAGTTGGGTGGTTCCAATATTCCTACTTGAATAATGTTGAATCACCCTTAGGATTTGTTGCCTGCTTTTTAAATTTGTCTTTTGACGTCTTATCTGTGATACGCAGGCTTCATAACCTCTGATCCCCGTTCAAAATTCCATTCAATTTAGTTCCGCCCATTGTTTTCTCGTTTAGGGCACATGCTTTTTATTACTTGGGGACCATACGCCGCTTTTCATGGAATGGCACGGAAGTGTCACATTGAAGGTTCCATGATAACCGCCGTATGAACACATCTGCGGATGTTTCTAAATTCAAAATTTTACTATTTCATGTTAAAATGTTGAATTCTGCTTAAGCCGGTGCTAGGGGGCGTGGACGGTAACTTGCACTTTTTAGTACCGTCCATGAACAGGCTCAATCAAACCGAGCCTGCAACATTTTCAATTTTGCCGTGTTGGGCTTTCTTTAGGGATTCTGTATTTATCTATTTGATGATGGTCAATTTCTTCTCACCAACACCTGCCTGAAACAGAAGGTCTTTTTCTTCCCGTGAAGGAACTGTATCCTTTAAAAATATGAAAAAGACTTTTTGTGAATGTTTCTTAAATTTCTTCTTTTGCAGATCAATTTTGATTTTCTGACTTACTTTCTTATTCAAATGTTGTCAAAATATGTACATGTACGCTACAAATATTTCCATACAGGAGAAATCATTTTCACACCACTAACATAAAACAGGAAAACATGAGTACAAAAGAGAACTGTTGAATGTTTAGTTGTTGTTGTTTTTGTAGTGTTCATTAAAAAAGGGAAACACATTAAAACAGTAAAAAAGGGAAACACATTAAAACAGCAATAAATTCACAGTGTGTGCCTTGAGTATGGATGAATCATGCAGCATTACTTGTTTGTGACTTTGATGAGCAACTTAATTAACTTGTTTTATTGAACATCATGGATAAAGTATAAATTATTTCTTCATAACTCTATTGATACCTGGTGAGCGACACAATTTATATGCCACTTCATACGTACATTCTTTGCAGAAAAACAGACATAGAAGTTTAAACATTGAACCATACATCAAATGTGATTTGTGGTAAAGAGTATGGCTATATCCAAGTGTATAAGACATACAAATAATCTGTATACATATCATATACATTGGCTGTCAATATTTTATATATCTATTTACAAAATTTATTAATTTACCTGCAAACACTTTGACAATAGACAAAATCTATGAGTCCAATATGTTACTGGTGGCCCTGTTGCATTTCCTCGCCTGCGGGTCCCTCTGTTGTAAGGGGCAAACAGTGCCCTAGTGGCAGCACGAAGCTCTGCAGAGTGGTTTCTGTTAACTGTTGTTGAACCAATAGATGTTGCTGCTGTCACTGATGGAGTTGATTGTGATTCAGAACAAGTAGTTGATGAATTTTCCGAAACCAAAAGATTTGCTGCCTGGCGCAAAAGCTCTGAAGCCCTTAACTGGTTACTCATTTTCCTGATAAAAAACATTACTGTAGTTGTTCAATATGTACATACATAACAGCAAACATGGAGGATTTTTATACATAAAAATATTTGGACTGCCACTACATGTATTTCCTAAACACAAGAAAACATTACCAATCTTGAATACATTTAAATAATAAGGATAATTTCATAAACATTGAACAAGATGAAAACAAGAGAGCTGACAGATTCCATTTAAGAGTGTGGAATAAGTTCCCAAAGAAAAATAATAGTTTGTATAAAAAATTCAGGATTTTTTTTAGTAAATGACAAAATTGTGATAATATAGTGTCAAAACACTGGAAAAAAAATTCTATCACGTTTTATTTGCTTTTAAATCGAATTTTAAATTTCAGGTTGCTAATGTCATTTTTTGACTGAATATTTGACGGAAATTTTTATGTTCACAACTTCAAAAAGTTTGAAAATTAAAGAGATTACCTTCATTAAATTAATAACCAAATTATTAAAGTAACAAATTATTGAAAACTATATCAAAAGTAAGTATGATTTCTGCAAAGAACATTTCAAATACAGGTTTATGCAACTTTTTTTATGTTGATATTGTCATTTTTTGACGGAAAAATTGTTGCTAACATAATGTTTTGACGGAACAATGTTATTGCAAACATCATTTTTGACGGACCAATTATATGCCAACATAATTTTTTGACGGAACAATATAAAAGAATACTTAAAAACCCATTCACTGCTTGTGTTGATAATCAGCTACATGTATGTTGCCCTTAACCCATTAACTTCCTATGCACATGCTATGGTGCTTTGTAACATAGTGCTAGGGTAGACGGTTTTTTTCTCACACTTCACCGTATTGGGTTGGGGAAGTCTCAGAACTATGTACAGTGGATGTAAATGTTCATACATTGTAGGTCACTAAATCGACGGAAGTTTCTTCCTACTTATTACATTTATTTATAGCAAAATTTTGTATGGTCTTAGACTAGTTACTGAGACTTCCCCCCAACCATTATCTCATCTTATCATGTTTTGCTTTTATTTGCTTGTACACTGGAAATGGTTGGTTAACAAGGCTCCCCTAGTGTGAAGGGGCCTTGGGGCTCACCATAGCTGCTGAATGTACATGCATATCATTTCAAATCACTTTCATATCGATTTGTTAATCTTCAAGTCTTAGTAACAGGTATTTTAGTCTTGCAATGGAATCGGCATTAGCACAGTTGGTAACGCACTGGACTTCGAATCCGGAGGTCCCGGGTTCGATCCTCGGCCAGGGTGTCCTTAGGCAAGACACTATTTCTCTAGCCTAGACGCTCTCTATGATGATTGACATACAAAATTGTGTCTCATCCAGAATATATCCAGAAACAAACATGTTTAACTCCAACTTTTATTGGTCATAAAAGTGAACAACACAATCAACTGGTTAATATGAACATTGCCGGCTGACGTGTGCCTATGGTTGAATATAGTCATCTGAAAATAAAGAAAGCAGAAACTAAATTTATTAGAGTGACAATGTTAGGAGGATAAATTTTAGCCTGCAGCTTATCACTTGACATGTGTATATCAGAAAATAAATTTCTCGAAAAAGCAAAAATGTTGTTTTCTCTTTAAAAAAAACTATAGACAACTTTGTGGGCATGTTATAAAGCCATGTTATATTTATAATATTACACTAGTCATTTATAACACTTCCATATCAATATAAACATGCCAGTAACTTATTTCTTTACAACTAGTCAAGTTATGAAATATAAACTAAACTGTTAAGCTTTCAGAAAGCTCTAGCGAAAACTGTGAATGTAGCTTAGGATAGCACAGACATTTACCTTTGAATTGATACAGTAGTCTTGTACCTCCGCACATTACTATTTCAGGTGGTTGAAGTATGCATCTTATATCCTGATGAACCAATGTGTGTTAGACTTCGTTCAAAATTCTGGAAACAAAGTCCACATCCCTTTCTTCTGCCTACGGCTAAAAAACTTAACCCATGGCCAGCTGTCCACCTGAAAAACATTTGCCTAGTAAATAAATAGTCATCCACAGTGAGCCATGTTAGAGTGTGCAGACACACTAAAATCTGACCTTTGAAAATATAATATATAACATACTGCAGGAGAGTAAGTAAGCCTCATGAATCTGAATCTGAAATAAAATCTCTCATTTAAAAGCTTGTTTACTAACAATCTGACTGGCTGTTTATATTGACTTCAAAAAATCTTTTTCTAGCATTAACAGATGGTTTCCGAGAGAACTGCATCTAATTTCACGATCATATCTAAACACAGTTTTATTTTGAACAGAAAAAACATGCAGCCATTGGCTGAAAACAATAAAATTGAAACCTGGTGAAATGATTATGAGATAGAAATGATCAGATGCATAGCAACAATTAGATGTAACAATGATAACATACATGTAAAAACAATGATAAATCGAAATGAGTCAGTGATTTTTTGCAAAACATCAATTATAAAACCAATTGTGGCGTTTGAATTGGGAAAATTAGCGCAATATGTCAAAAATTTGAAAAATTCAAAATGGTAGGAACGATATAAAACCAACAACTTGTATAAGTATAACCTGAATAAAGCAACTGTTCTAGATTTAAAATTCACAGTGACACAATGTGGCAGTTTCCAATCCAAAAGACCAATATAACATGTATATGTTAGATTTTGTCTATGTATATTTCTTTCAATTGGGAAACTACCAGTTTTCGGGGGAAAAAAGCTTATATTTTGGGAAAAATAGTTCATTTCCAATTGGGAAACAGCCTTTAAAAATTCACTGTGAGTATTAACTATATAAAACAATCTTAATGGTCATGATGTCCAACAATAAATCACTTAAACAGTACCAAAAGCTGAAAATAAAACAACCAGTTACTTGTAGCAAGACTTACCATTGCAGGTAATAAACACTTTCCATGTTGAACTAGGACATAGTCTCCTGTTCTAAACCTGGTTTAATAATTTTTTAACACAATTGTTAATGTATTTGAACTAATTGAATATACTGACTAAATATTCAAGGGATGTCGTATCTAAAATCTTGAAATGGCATGAATGACTCTTGAAAACAGAAACAAGAGGCCCAAGAGAGCATACATGTATGCGCTCTACTTGTTTATATTTATAAAGGTTATTGAGACTTTTACTTTACCTTGACTGGATTTCACGTCCTGGCAAGTCAACATCATCACCACCAGCAATGGTTATCTCCTCAGTTTTGATTGGGTCTGGGGGTGCCATCAGGTGTAGGCCTAGTGTCCTCAGGTGTGGGGGTGCCATCAGGTGTAGGCCTAGTGTCCTCAGGTGTGGGGTGCCATCAGGTGTGGGCACGGTGTCCTCCGGTGTTGCGGTGCCATCAGGTGTGGCCGGTGTCCTCAGGTGTGGGGGTGCCATCAGGTGTGGGCCCGGTGTCCCTCAGGTGTGGGGGTGCCATCACGTGTGGGCCAGTGTCCTCAGGTGTGGGCCCGGTGTCCTCAGGTGTGGGGGTGCCATCAGGTGTAGAGGTGCCATCACGCGTGAAGGTGGGGTCAATGTCTTTGGTACCGTTGCTACAATAAAGCATCATTAATAAACATTGCATACAGGACTCAATCTATTAATCAATTTGATGTTATAGTAAGATTCTTCCAATGTCATTATTCTATAAAACTAAGACTGTACTTGACATTTTGCAGGTCATTGAAAGTATCTATCTAAGTAAATTGTAATTGATATTTATAAAGGTTACTGAAACTTTTACTTTACCTTGACTGGATTTCACGTCCTGACTGACAAGTCAGTTATCATCATCATCCACTTGGCAACTTCACCAGTCTTTTGTTATCTCCTCAATTCCCTCAGGTGTGGCGGTGCTATCAGGCGTGGGATGCTCGAGGACCTGTACAATGAGTAAATCATAGCGCTCGTGATTGTTATCAAAAATACATGTAGTTTGTCTTTGAGAAGAATGCAAATCTGTGGATCCAGCATTAGACCAAAAAAAGTCAAATGTTCAAAGACGCATCTTAAATTTATTGACTACTTAAGGACATTGTATACAAGCATGTGCAAGTTACCAAGCGAATAGCTAATGAGAGGCGTGATTTAAAGTTATGAGACCGATAATAGAACAAAACTTAGAAAAGATACTTCACATTTCAAAAACTTTGTCTTCTCCAAGATTTGATGAGAAGCATAAGAAAAAGACCACATTTAAAACTTAAGTCTCCCCTGTATGGATTCTTCGCCTCAAGAAAACTTAACCGACACCGACAACGTGGTTTTATAACACTGCTTTTTTCTTTAAAAAGTGGAACTAAAATTAAAAGGCTCGAAAAGTACCTAAACTTACAGAGTAGTAAGGATGGTGTCCATCATGGAATCAATCAGGGATAGATCAGCATCTTCTTCATTGAAGTCGAAGCGTCAATCATGCCACTCAAATCTCCCATCATTTCAGTTGAAAATATGACAGTCGTTGTGGTAGGTAAAAGTGGCACAAAGTGCGGTTTGGTATCCCAATGTACTTGTGTGGTACCATATCTGTTCGCTGTGGATGTCTGCACATTACTTGTAACGCTTGGTTCATTGTGGTCACCTTTTGTCTTGGAAGTATGCTTCTATTCAGCACCTGCTTCACGGAACTCTGACGCTATGATTGGGTACAGTGAAGTGATTTTCTTTTTTTAGAACAGAGACTTTAAGGCAAACAGCTGCCATATGCCCATATATGAACCTCTTTTACAGATTTACACCGTCTCTTCTTCAAATATATTTTCTGTGTCTGTTTTTGTTACTTTGTTACCAAGATATATATTGCTCCGAAATACATTGTGTAGGGTGTGATCAAGAATTTTGGATTTTCTTGTTCTGGAAACGGTTTTCACCTTCTTGTTCTCAAAATATTTGTTATGAATGTACATAGTCGAGTCAGACACTGTTTCAATTGGTAATTCTCACTCTCAGGTTGTCGTTCTTGTGCCTCTTCATTGCCAAGATAACAATTGCTACCTGTTCTAGGCTAAATCGTTGCCTGTCCGCCCGTAACATTTACTTGTGTCAACATCCTTCCACGTGGCGTATTTTCTCCGAAATTAAGTGTCGGAGCTTATCTGATC